ACCAACAGTGTTTTTTTCTCAAAGCTACTAATTGTAATTTTACTAATTAACTGGCAGTGACATAGCTTTATGCTATACTATTCCGGCAAAGACAGACAGACATTACAATTAGTGGCCTTGCGAAAAACACACTCTGTTGGTCCGAGCTCGCGAGTAATCAACCAGGATGGGTACATCCTGAAAGACAGCTCGGCGTACAATTGACTGCTAGAATACATACGGCCTCCGACACTCTGTGATTCTGTACGCGATGTGAATGGCGGCTTTATTGCTAACAAATCGGCCAAGGTCGATCGCTGGCGTGAACACTTCGAGCACCTCCTCAACTTTGGAGACCACCCCTCCACACCCTCCCTCTCCTCCACAGTGGAGTTTCAACCCTCTCCAGCCTACGCAGTGTCGTGTGACCTCCCGTCCGAAGACGAAGTTGCCGATGCAATGCAGAAACTGTGCAATAACAAGGCGCCTGGAGGGGACGGTATTTCCGCAGAAATCTATGAGTCTTGTGTCAACATTCTGGCTCCTCGACGAGGCTGTTCCCGATGACTGAGGCTTAGGCATCCTTGTACCTCTCTACAAGAAGGGAGATAAGACGAGATGCGAGAACTACTGTGGCATCAGTTTTATCGACGTTGCTGCAAAGATCTTCGTTATTGTTCCTCTAAGGCAGTTTCAGTGTGTACGTGACTCCAGGGCATGGCCCAACCAAGCCGGATTTCGCGCTGGGGCGTGGATGTGCGGACAAGATAGTTACGCTGAGGCGCATTCTGGAATTTCGCCACAGCTACCAACAACTGACGGCCATCTGCTTTGTCGCTTTCGCCGCCGCGTTCGATTCTATCCATCGTGAGTCCCTGTGGCGAATGATGGAACTATATGGAGTACCTACTAAGCTCACTGCCATGATTAAGGCCTACCACATGAGTTCTGGTCCACAAAAATCTCTCTCAATCGTTCGATATCCGGTTTGGTGTCCGACAGGGCTGCGTCCTGCACCATTCTGCTTAACTACGTCATTGACTGGATTCTCGGGAAGGTCCTACATGAAGAGGATGGTGTTGAGCTTGCGCCCGGGCGCCGGATGACTGAGCTCGACTACGCCGATCATACTGCGCTGCTAGCCTCGAGCTTTGGTGGTTAACAGTCTGTAATATCGCGGGTGAATGAGATCGCTATGTCGGTTGGCATGGTCATAAATTCCGGGAAGACTAAGGTATTCTCGGGCTGCATTCCTGACCAGGAGAAGGCACCCCTGGGAATTAATGACCATCATCCGGCACTACAGCCCACCTGGAGGCGTCGGAGAGGAGGACAACTGAAGACTTGGCTCGGCAATGTCCGCCAAGACATGGAAGCAATTCTTGGACTTTCTATTTTTGGTCTCCGTGGCTGGAGAAGAGACTGGGTGGAGCTTTCCAGATTCGCTGCCGCCAATCGTCACGCGTGGAGGGGTACAGTCCGTGACATCACTGAGGCTGGCTAGATCAGGCATGATCACAGCCGTAACAGATACAAGTAAGTAGGCACTGACAGCACAAACAGTTTATGAAGAAAAGGAAATGCTGCTTCGCTTCTTCCGTGGCACTACGACTACTAGTATGCCAATCACGCTAGTTGAGTCATCAAATTGTACGAACCACAGCTAGTTAGTACTTTTAAGTCGGACGAAAATTGGGGACAGCATTTCATTCATTTCACGCTCTTAACAGAATCTAGTAAGACCAACCTTCTCCTACTGAACTACAGATATCGTAGGCTTTACAGCACATCCGTATCCCATTCTCACCTATCCATTTGTTATTTGATATACTGTCTACTGATACGTACTGAGTAAAGTATTGTTCGCCTTTTTAATAGTAATGACTTTCTAGTTTAACATTTACCTTGATCAACTTGATTTTTTATGAGTCATTTATCAAACAGTGTGTTTTGTTCGCCGAACTGACAAATCGTGAAATTGTCATAAACAAAATTCCATGTGAATACCAGACAGACAGGTGGTCGTTTTTCATTCTGACGTGCCGGCCATGTGGTGTGAAGCAGAACTGTTTTCAGATAGTGTAATTCCAATCATTGCAGACAAACTCCTGTAATTGAATGAAAACCTTGACTGGCAACTTCCGCCTCATGCACAACTGGTGGGCAATCTGATATTACTTTCTTGGCTTCATGTTGTCAACTGTGTTTACAGAATATGCGCACACTGCATACATATGGCAATTAATGGCTCCCCCTGTTGATGTTAGTCGTCCGCTTGTGCGTTAATTGCTTGAGAGCTGGCATGCGGGTCATGGCCCGCTGAACCTTCCTTACCCGTGCTGGATTTGGGCATGATGACTGCTCAGTAAGATTGTGACTAGTCATGTTGGCTTTCGGAAATTCTTTGAAGTCACAGGTCATCAGCGTTAAGGCATCACAGGCAGATCTCATGTTCGTGCTCATTTGATATTTCTAGTAAGAAATTTTGGGATGAACTTACATAAACCTGAGCATTTCGAAAACAGTTAATGTTCAACACACGTGAACCTGATAGTCATTGATAATGAACCCATGCTACTTGAAGGGGTTCGCGTTTGAGCTGCCTGTCTGTGCAATCATAGTATCCAGTCCTGTGAATGACACCCTGTAATTTTCAGCTAAAATCTGCTGGTTAATCTGAAGCTAGAAAAAGTGGTGTTGGTCACCCTTAAGGCCATGGCTGATAGCTGCCGAAAACAACTGAAGTAGAAAGTGGTGTTCAAATACTTTTACTGTGCATAAAAAGGAAATGAGAATAAGTAAAGTTGGCTGCACTAAAAAGTACTTTTACGCTCTTCTAACCGTAGATAATTCACTCCTTTGGCATTCATTAGGTGGCAGTATAAGAAATATCCTACGTTGTACGCAGTGATGTTATATCATACACGTTAAAGCGTTCGTTTTCTTCGTGTTTTGCGTTCATTTTTCCGTTAGGAGGAGTGAACGTCAAGGGTTGAGTTCCGACGATTTTGATTTCTGAATAAAAAGAAGACGTCACGATTCCCACCGCTCATTCTGAGAATGAATAAAGCCACTAATTAACTGTTAAATAAAGGAGTGACCCAAGATCGAAACCTTCTGATTGCTTTAGATTAAAGGCGAAATACTGCCTAAGGCATGGGTAGGTAAAAGCCCTGTGCATACTTCTTTTCTAAAAAAATAGGGATTTAGTTCATAGTCAAGTAAATGGCGTAATACAGTAGTCGCCGGTTATTAAGCTCACGGTTAATAGGCCCAGCCGCTTATTAAACCCAATTTGTTCTGGGCCCGAGGTGGGCTTAATAACCGGCGACTACTATACGAGCTTAAGAGATCAGGGTACCGGACGCATCACGCTAAAGAATTCTGACAGTTTTTTTCAGGCTTAATTAGGTGAGTGCACGTCACTTGCTGGCAAGTTGTAATTTGGAGATTCATTTTTATTTCAGTAAGTGAAAAATAAAAAGGGACTGGGAACTGGAATATGGACCACACCGTTCTACCGGTAGCCTTACGCTTAATTCCAGGAGAGTCAAGAAAAGCTTTGAGTTTAGGATTGGTGTTAAGGTTAGCAGATTATAATTTCAAGGATTAGGATTATTGTTTGGGCACGAGAATATACACTCTTGAAATTATGCACAAATCAACAAATGGTACGGGATATCCTTATTCCCGTCTCCATTCGAAAATAGTTGGGCCATTAGTTATGTTTTGTCCTGATCCCCTACCACAGGACAGCTGCAATACATCCTTAATCTCCCAAAGCGCTAATTGATATCGTTAAACATCGCTTCAACTACAAGAAACATACGTCTCTTTCAATGAAATATTGCTCCACCCATGAACGTCTTTAAGGTGCTCGCACCAGCTAGCCAGTTACTACGGCAGTATCCTGAAGTTTTCGCTCGCTTTCCTTGGTTACG